CTGCCACGTGACCGCAAAAACCAGCACGGAATGTTCGGGAAACTAAGTCGGCTTGCACTCCGGAGCCTGAGGGGCTTCCCTGAGGGCTCAGCGTGAAGAATCCGCCGCCAGTGCAGAAGACACAGGACGCGCAGGCTTGATTCCTGGGTCAGGAAGACCCCCTGGGGGAGGAAACGGCAGCCCACTCCAGGATTCTTGCCTGGAGAACCCCAGGGACAAAAGAGCCTGGTGGATTACAGTCTATGGGTCACAGAGAGTCGGACCTGACCGAGTGACTGAGCACACATGCGTGCTAACTGGGGCCTAAAATGCGATGAGACATTTAGGGGTCCAAATTCTCTGTGTTTGAGGGGCTTTGGGGGTAACTGAGAGGACCAGGAAGTTGTGTGGGCACAGTCCTTTGTGAGACTACAGAAAGCCCAAGCGTGCATGCACAGGGTGCCACGAATGGGGGCGATGGGATTTGTGAGATTATGCACAGGGTGCCACGAATGGGGGCGATGGGATTTGTGAGATTATGCACAGGGTGCCACGAATGGGGGCAATGGGATTTGTGAGATTATGCACAGGGTGCCACGAATGGGGGCAATGGGATCACAGCTCCCCCTGCTCCTCAGGGCTTCACTGAGCTTGGAGACAAATCTGGGTAGACTGACGGCAGATGAGGCGGCGTCTGTCTTGCTAATGAGTTCTGCTGAGAGCAAGCAAGGGGCTTTTGAAGCTGTCCTTGAAGATGAGTGAGAGGTTCTGATGAGCCTTCTAGAGCATTCACTCTGGAGCTTCGAGGAAGATGGAGTGGATGATGCAAGATGGGGGTTGAGGGCAAGGGCAGTCAAGGCTTCTGCAAGCATCTGCTGGGATCTTCCCTGGGGAAAGCATTCTTTGGGGCCGCCTTTCCTGTTTTGAGGGCTTCCCTGATAGCTCAATTGATAAAGAATCCATCTGCAATGCAGGAGACTCTGGTTTGATTCCTGGGTCGGGAAGATCCCCTGGAGAAGGGGTAGGCTACTCATTCCAATATTCTGGCCTAGAGAATTCCACAGACTGTATAGTCCATGGGATTGCAGAGTCAGATACAACTGAGCGACTTTCACTTTCCTGTTTTGAAACTTTTTATTTTGTATTAGCAATGTTAACAGAGCCAATTAACAGTGTTGTGATAGTTTCAGGTTGGCAGCAAAAGGATTCAGTCATACCTATACATGTATCATTATCAATTCAATGGACATGAACTTGGGCAAACTCTGGGCGATGGTGAGGGACAGGGAAGCCTGGAATGCTGCAGTCCACAAGGTTGAGAAGAGTTGGACTGACCTGGCGACTGAACAACAACAACAACAAAAGACAGGTATCCATTCTCCCCCAACCTGCCCTCCCATCCAGGCTGCCATATAACATTGAGCAGAGTTCCATGTGGGGAGCTCCGTTCTTGTCTCCGTTGGTTCATCCTGGGCTCTCAGGAGGGGAAACCCTAGGAATACGTAGGGGGATTTGGTGGAGGGAGAAGGGAGAAGGGATGAGCCATAAATCCCCAACCTGCAGAAGCTCTGCCAGCCAGCCCCGCCTCCCCGTGCATAGGCCAACCCGGCTGTCTTGGCAGCGGGCATAGGAACTGGCCCTGGGCAAGTTCCCCGGGTAAAAGGCGCAACCTGGGCGTGGGCTGGTTTCCTTGTGAAGGCTGTTGCTTCCCCTCAGGCTCCCCCACACTGCTGCTGAGTAATCTGCAGGCTGCAATCTGTTGGTGGAGGAACTCTTTCAACACGGAGTGTCAGGCTCCCAGGTACACAGGCTCTGTGTGTGCCAGGAGCCGGGCTTATGTCCCTCTTCCAGGGAAGCCTCCCTCCCCGCTGGCAAGTGGTGCCCCCGCCCTGCCTCCCTGCCTCGCTCTCTTAGGCTGCCCTGTCCTCCCCTGGGAACCAGGTCAGGGGACCCACTGGCAGGTGTCATGGGGCATGAATCAGGTCTGAGCGGGAGGGTTAATTGGATGAGTTCTCTGGTCAATAGCCAATCTCTTACACTCCCTAGGAGAGAATTAGGAACCTGCGTATGTGATGGATCATCTCTTTGTGGAAGAAGTTTAGGTTACTGGAAACCACATTTCGGCCAAGAATGACTCAGCGGACTTTTCCATGCTCTTCGTGGAGAGTTTGGGCTTCCCTGGTGGTGCCGCAGTGGTAAAGAATCCACCTGCCAATGTAGGAGATGCTGGTTTGATCCCTAGATTGGGAAGGAAACGGCAACCCACTCCAGTATTCTTGCCTGGGAAGTCCCACGGAGTGAGGAGCCGCAGCCTATGGGTCACAGGAGAGTCGGACATGACTTAGTGACTAAACAACAGCAACAAAGTGGAATATTTAATTTCACGCAGGTAGGTGATTTCAAAGGGATGAAGGCTGGCTGGCATTTCAGCTGGTGGCTCAGCAAGGCAACATATCCCTCTAATTGGCCTATCTTTTCCAGGTTGGTGGGTTTTCCAAGGCATCTTGACTTGTGCTGAGGAAGAGGGTAAGGCATTCAAATGGTTCATATGTGAGGCCTGAAAACCTGTGAACTGGGTTTCTTTTCTACACACATGTCAGTTTGATTCAACAGAGCATTACTAGGCCTCATGGATGCCATTAGTCAGAGTGATAAATCCTGGGGATTTGGTAAGGGCAGACACTCAGTCCTGCCCTTGGGAAGTTAGCTCACAGTTCAAGGCTGGACTTAAAAATAAACAAAGAGAAATGATGGAGCAGCATGATCAAAGGGTAAGGAGGAATTCATTCTGTTGAATACAGCAGGGAATGAAGGTAGGCTTCCTGGAAGAAGTGAAATCTCACATATGTCTGGAAGGATAGATAGAAATGAATGCTTTCCAACTGTAGTACTTTTAGTGATCTCAAACTTGGCCTCTTGTCATACTGGCTTTGAGTATGAACAACTAATTCAATTATAACATTAATAGAAGAAAGCATTCACTAGCATTGCAAGTAAGTTTATCCCAGACCTCTTAGTAATTTTTTTTCCTATAGCTCTCTTGATGGGCTTCATGGTCTTTGCCCTTTATGAAGTGGTCCACAGTGTGAAAAATGTGAAAGGTCCTGGGTGAACGGACATCTGATAAGTATGTAAATTGGAGAAAGTCTATTGGGCCTGGAGTTAGGATGTTGAGTTATATAATTCTTCTGACTTTCCTCTTTCAAAATTACTATGATTCCTCCAGGGAAAGGACAGTTTCTTACTTCTCTGCCTTCCAAAGCCAGCCCGTGCCTCTCATCTCACTTTACAAATGTGGAATATACTTGTGGTTTTCCTCGTGTCTCTGTTCCCAGGTAGAGTCCTGAACCTATAGCTCATGTTCCATTTTTGGGAATGCCCTTCTCTGGTTCTCCAGGTTTAGAAGTCTGGGCTTCTTGCTTGTTCCAATAACATAAAGGTCAGAATGTTCAAAGTGTTTCCAGACCAACCTTTCTAATTATTTGGTTAAACCCATTGGAAAGACAGGCCTCCCTGGTGGCTCAGTTGATAAAGAATTCCCCTGAAATGCAGGAGATGCGGATTCAGTCCCTGGGTAGAGAGGACCCCGTGGAGAAGGAAATGGCAACCCACTCCAGTATTCTTGCCTGGGAAATCCCATGGACAGAGGAGCCTGGCGGGCTACAGTCCATGGGGTCTCAAAGAGTCCGACATGACTGAGCAACTAAAGCACCATCACCTTGGCAGGACTCTCCAGCTTGCTTCATTTTGACTGAAGTTCTCCAGGACTGTATGTGCAGACTGGACATGTAATGTCACAGGGGCCCTGGGACAACAGGGAAGCCGGTAGATGCCTGACCAAACCAGTGCGCAGCTGGAGACCTCTGGCCTCAGCCAAAAAATCTATTTAAGGAAGAAAAAAGAGCCCAACCACCTCCTCAGGCTCCATCAGATCCTTCCAAAGCTAGGAATTGGCCCTGGATCTCCCTGTTCCTACCACTCTGCAAGCTGGACTTTGCAGTGGGTGAACTTTTCTGGAAGAGTGGCAGATGAGGAGAAGAGGTCTGCAGTTTGCTGTTGGCATCACCATCTGTATCAACAAGTCTGGGTGTAGAATTGCGGAGTTGAGAGAGGAGAAGAGACATGAGAGCAAGAGCGGACAGCCTGAGTTCTGTCTGTAACTGTGCATTCAGCGTAGAATCAGCATGCCAGTCTTGACGAGGCTGGCTCTGTGCTGGACACTGGGGGCTACACCAGTGAGATGTGGTCCCAGCTTCCCCAGTCACTGCCCAGTGTGGGGGGGAGAGAGACGCCAACATGCCGGTGGAGTAGAGGGGGCGTGACACTGCTAGTGGAAGCCACAGTGAGTTTTTGGGCTTCTGAGCTGACTCCAGAAGGACACGTGGACATTGGCCAGAGTGGGGGTGGGTGGGTAGACTCCAGGCAGAGTGCTCGAAAGTGGAGGGGCTGAGAGGAGAGAAGGAAGAGATACGGGAGGCTTGGCATGGTGTAGGGAGGTGAGGATCAAGGAACCACAGGTGAAGTCAAATCATTCTGGATGGAACACGAGAGCAAGGTGGGTTTATGAAGGCACCTGCTCCACCTCCGGAGGTCATATTCCCTATCGCGACCTGTCAGTGAGGGGTGGGCAAATAGACAACTTTTGGAGGCAGTCATTTTCACTGTGGACCCCTCTGGCCATTGGAGTTCTGAATAGTGATCATTCTTTCTATCTGTAAGACATTAAATAAATATCAGTGATGCTGGGAAAGATTGAGGGCAGGAGGAGAAGGGGGCAACAGAGGATGAGATGGTTGGATGGCATCACTGACTCAACGGACATGAGTTTGAGCAAGCTCTGGGAGATGGTGAAGAACAGGGAAACCTGGCGTGCTGCAGTCCATGAGGTTACAGAGAGTGAGACATGACTTAGGGACAGAAGAAGAAAAAACACATAGCAAAGTGTTTTCTTATGCGTCACAGGCAGCTGAGGAGGACATAGGGCAAGAGAGAACAGGCAACCACTCACTAGTTAGGTGGTCTCCCAGCAACCACTTAACCTGGCTGAGTGTTAGTCTTCCTATCTATCAAGTGGGGATAATGACACCTACCTCAGCTGGTGGCTGCCAGCTCTGAATGAAACTACTGCAGGGAGGCCCACAGGAAGCCCTTGATGCCCCTTCACTGTACTGTTATCCGGATGGGCAAGAGTCCTCAGTCTCTCTACCAGTCGTACCAAGACGTTCATCCTAAGACCCATCCTCCCAGCTCCCTAGATGAAGCACCTGCTGCTCTCGCCGTTTGGTAAATGAATCCTTGTTCACGCCTGTGACACAGGAGCACTTTCTTTAAGAAGGCTAAAACTGGATGGTAAGTGTCCCAGGCCAGCAATATGCATTTCTGCATGATTTACAAGTTCTCATGTGGGGGGCGGGGGGCTTCCCTGGTGGTCCAGTGGTTAAGACTTTGCATTTCAACGTAGGCGGTGCTGGTTTGATTCCTGGTCTGGGAACTAAGATCCCACATGCCTTGCAGTCAAATAACTAAAACATAAAACACAAAGCAATATTGTAACAAATTCAGTGAAGACTTAAAAAAAAAAGGTCCACATCAAAAAATCTTTACAAAAACACAAAGTTCCCTTGGGTATCCTTGTTCACTTTGTCATCCCCCTACCCCAGAGCTTTGTACAATATTAACTTCTCTCTGTGGCCTGATGACTTGTGTTCACCAGCTTTCACTGACCTCCCTAAATCTTCCTTTGCATTTCTAATTAGACTTTCCCCTATCTTACTGCTGCTCTGAGTCCCAGGCTTCATTTATTTTTATTGTTTTGTGGGAATGAATACATCACAATGGGTTATAGGTGACAATAACAGAGATTGTGTTTTGGGGATGGACCCCATGCTCTCCAGCCAACCATATCTCTGTTCCTGGTGATGCCCCAGGCTGGGGTTCAAAGAAGTCCTGGTGCTTTCAATCTCCTACCCTCTCTTCTCTCCTCTGCTTCTTGTCATGAAATTCAGACCAACTAGGGATGCTTGGTCTAATCTCCTGAAAGGACTCCTCATCATGGCCCTATGAGGCTGGTGTGTTGATGTTGTCTGGGAGAGACTGTAGTTATTGTGATGAGGAAAGCAAAAGAGAGAAATCAAATGCATAATGAGAAGACATCAGTGTGGCCTGATGAGGCTGTTCAGGGTGTATTTCCCTTGAAATGCTTCTTGAAAGACAGCAGCTTGAAAGAATGAGCAAGATGAGATTCATAGAGATAGCATTTCAAAAGGGAGCGTAGGCGCAACTAAGCTAAGCTCTGAGTGACAGAAGAGCAAAGTGCGTGTTAAAAAAGAAGAAAAGAAAAAATATCATCAAATGCCCATGGATCTTATGGGTGGCAAACTCTCTCTGCAAAGTATGTGTTTGTGTTTTGAGTGACTAAGACTCCAAAGGCAAGTTTAAACACATAAGCCCAGTTTAAAGGCAAATAAGATAATGTTGGAGGAAATTCATGAAACAATGTTCCTTTTTATACAACACGTTTCCTTTGAAATTCACAATATACATTGCTTAAAAATGACATAGCAGCTACCACATAGTGAACTGAACAACCTTTTTCATAGCATCCTAGCAGTGGAAATGGCTTCAGAGGCAATTGTGTGATGGCATTCATGTGATTAGGGAAGCAAATGGAGATGTTCAATATTTCTTTATGGACTGAAGAAGGAGATACACCTACCACTGTCTTCAGCAGTCAGAGTTAGGCATGAGAATAATAAACATTCATTTATTTAATAACTATTTATTGAGCCCCTACTATGGACTGGCATGTTGTGCCAGTGTGTATTTTTTTTTACCTGTTAAATACAAAGGGATTTAGGGAAGGAAGCACTAGGGTTCTAAAGATAAGTCAGATAGTCCCTCTGGGAAGGTTGAGAAGAAAGTTGCTGGAGGTCAACTATAAAACCCCAGAGATTCTTAGGTGGAGCAAACCGGATCATTTTAACCAGTGTGGTTCCTCCCTTGATGCCAAGGGCGGTAATCCAATAATGAACTCTGAGGTAGGTCTTGTATGTTCATGATCTACCTTAATTTAAAAACAGCCTACAGTGGACTTAGGGAAAGAATGAAAACTTCTAGAGACAGAAAGGTCTCCATGCCTTACACAGTGGCTGGCTTCAGGAATCCTTTGCAATGTGTTTGCCGAGTTCTTCAGCAACAAGTGTTTAAAAGCTGGATGGATGGACGGTTGGTGGTGGTTTAGTCTCTGAGTCATGTCTGACTCTTGGGATTCCATGGGCTGTAGATGGGTAGGCAGGTTGACTGGCTGAGCTGACACTGGTTTATGACATCACATGAGCTCCACATGTGATGACGTTCTGTTTCTGCTTCTGTGTGTACCACAATGTACCCACCACACAGCTTCAGTTTCCATCCATCACCAGCCACTGACCCCTTTGACCCACTGTGTCCCCTCGCCCATCTCCTCTGGAAATCACTACTCACGTCTCTGTCATCTGTGTCTTTATTTTTGTTTGATTCATTTATTTATTGTTTGTTTTTATATTCCACACATGAGTGAAATGAGTGAAATTATATGCATTTGTTTTTTTCTGACTTATTTCACTTAGCATAGATCCTTCAAGGTCCATCCATGTCATCACAAGGGGTAAGACTCCATTTTTTATGGCTAAGTAGTATTCCATTGTGTGTGTGTACATGTATATAACACATCTTCATCCAGCCCTCCATTGATGGACATTTAAGTTGTTTCCATATTGTGGTTAATGTAAAAAATGCTGCAGTGAACATAGGGGTGCATCTATAATTTTTGAATTCGTGTTTTTACATTCTTTGGATGAATACACAGAAATGGAATGGCTTCATCATATTGTAGTTTTATTGCTAATTTTCTGAGAAATCCCCATACTGTTTTCCATCATGACTGTACAAATCTACATTTCCACTAACAAAGTACAAGTGTTCTTTATTCAAGTTCATTTCTTTTCCATTATAGACAGAAATAGACCACATTTCCCAGCCTTCTTTGCAGCTAGGTGGGGCATGTGAGTGGAATGACGGATGCTGCTTCTAGGCTAGGCTCTCACATAATACTCTCTGCCTCTCTGGCTGAATGTTGAGCACCCCACGAGGAAGAGTGAGGCCCTAGGGAATGGTGGAGCCTCAGGATGGAAGGAGACTTAGTCCTTGAAATGGGTACACTGGAGTCTTCTGGACCATACACAATGAACTGAGATGTGACTGAAAAATAAATTGTGTCACTTGGTAATGTCTGGAGACATTTTTGGAGTCACGAATGGGAGATGGGACATATTACTGGCATCCAGTATGTAGAAGTTAGGAATACAGCTATACACCCTACAAACAAACTAGCATATGGACAAAAATGTCAATAGGATCACTGAGACGTTGAGAATTACTACAGCAGCTAGCATTGTTACATTCCTGAACTAATACAGTGATGAACTTCCATGGTAGGATCATTTATATATTCATTCCACAAAGTCTTGAGGAGCTTCCCTGATGGTCCAGGGTTAAGACTTTTCCTTCCAATGCAGGGGGTGTGGGTTCAGTCCTTAGTTGGGGAGTTAAGACCCCACATGTCTCAGAGCCATAAAACCAAAACACAAAACCAAAGCAATATCAATAAAGACTTTAAAAATGGCCCACATAAAAAAAAAATCTTACAAAACCCCTAAGTCTTGAGCATCTACTATGTGCCAGGTAACTCTCTAGACACTAGCATACAGCAGTGAACAATATGGGCAAAAATCTTTGCTCTAAAGAAGGTCACATTCTATAGTGGAGGATGGCAAGTAATAATATCAATCAAATAAAATATATAGTCTATCAGTGATAATAAATGATATGAAGACAATAAAATGGGATCTGGGGGAGGGATTGAAACTTAACTCATTGTTGTAAATCCCACAGGGGGATGATGACGCCTACACCCATATCCAGCCTAGTCCTCTTTTCCTAAGCCTTACGGTCATCTGTCTGTTGGACACCTTTACTGGGGTGTCTTCAGGCACCTTAAACTTCGCATGTCCCAAACTGAATTAATAATCTTCATAGAAGGGGGCAACAGAGGATGAGATGGTTGAATAGCATCACCGACTCAACACACATGAGTTTTCACAAACTCCGGGGGACAGTGGAGGACAAAGGGGCCTGATGTGCTGCAGTCCACGGGGTCACAAAGACTTGGACACAACTTATCGACTGAACAACAACAAATTGTGTCTTCTACCTCAGTTTGATTTTGTCTGCTAATCTTAATTAAGCACAGAGTCACAATCCATCCAATGCCCCCAGTTTGAAGTCTGGACTCCTCTCTCACCTTCACCATTACCACCAAAATCTTGTGGAATTTACTTTGAAGAATTTTTTGAAATTTTTCCCTCTTCTCCATCACAACCCTAGTTCTGCCTCCCACTATTCCTGCCTGAAACAATCACAGTAGCCCTTGAAATGGTTTGGCTAAAAATAAAACAGATTCAGAGAGAGCATGTCAATTGCCCAGGGACACACTGCCAGTAAAGCAGTGCCATAATTTAATCTTGGTTCTCTCGTGTTCCCAAATCCCACCCCTCAGCTCCTCAGCCTTTGAAGATCTTGTCCAGAACTCATGATGGCGGGGAGCAGGCAGAGGGTTGCAAAAGCCCCTGCCTGCTCCCTCTGCCCCTGGTCATGCTGAGGGCTAGAATGTCAGCTGACATCATCGCCACCTTTGGGAAAGTCTACTAAATCCGTGCCAGGAGGCCGCATAGGAGCCACAGTCACCCCTCAGCTAACCCATCTATGGTTGGAAGAAGAATTATGTTGGATCCACTTACAGGCACACCCCAGTTTATACTATTTGTGAGCAGAAGAGATTGTGTGTTTCATAGCACTGCATTATTTGCAAATTTCTCTGTAGATGCAAACAATAACACGGGGGTTCCCCATTTCCCAGGCTTCCTGTTTGCATGATGAGGGAATTCCATGGATGCACCCCGCTCACTCTCACTAAGGAGGGCAGTTTGGAAGAAGGTCTGAGCAGCATTGTCTTAGCACCTTTCTGCCTTGTTGGGGGCAGCCTGCTTAGGACACCCACCTCCTCCATCCTCCACTCTGTAAGTTCACTGGGGCACTCTCTGCCTGCTCTAGGGACACCCCAAATTTTCCAACTCAGCCAGGGCGGGTGGTAAGTCTGCCTAACTCAGGGTGCTGAAGCAGCACACTGGCTTGTAATGCTGTAGCTCCAAAGCTCAATTCTCCTCCTTGATTTATCAGTAACATATCTCCATCTGGAAGATGGTTTGATCTCCATCAGGGTTTTCTATGTCTTATTTCTCCATTGGTTCTGA